CACGTCACCATCTCAACGACCACCCTAGCCAGATGGGTGCACTGGATACTGTCTCTGCTTCCTTCGGGGCCCACTCGGTACGCGGCGCGGCAGCATCCGCGGCTTTCACGGCGGGCGCATCCCTATCAGACATCCTACGTTCAACAGACTGGTCAAGAGAATCCACGTTCCGCACTTTCTACTTCCGCCCTAACTCAGGTGCGGCTATGTCACTCATACAACAGCGTTAAAAATGCAAAATAGGAAGCCTCCTGTCATGTTATAAAATTGAAGATTATGCTAGCGTTAGTGTACTTATAATCTTAATTTTAATAATTACAGGAGGCGAGTATTTAACCACCCTTTCCCACCCGGGGAAGAGGGGAATCTCCCTATCACTATACTATTCTCGTTTTTCTGGTTTAGCACTATTCACGTTTTTCTTGTTTATAGCACTAGTCTAGACAATGTACCTATTTACCACTTCACTTAACTACAGTCAAACAAATGTTTCATGATGTATCCAACCAGTATAACAATGTCATATTATTAGGCCAAGGGCCGCTACCATTGCTACAACCAGTTTGGAGACCAAAGTCTAACCCATTTCACATTCTCTTTCAGTGTAACCTCGCAAGAGCATGGGATAACTGCAGGAAACTAATCGGATTACTGCTCAACCCATGAAGACCACCGTCCCCGTTGGACCTTTTTTCTTACCGTTGATATTGGTTAACGATCACCCTCAGGATCATTGTTATTTTGGAACCTTCCTCTATTGTTACTGATTTCAGACTTTTATATTGAACTTCTTCCCTGTTTACGATGTCGCTTCTGAAAGAGGGGGAGGAGCCTGTTTACTGGGAATTTCATGCTCCCTACTGCATTTTTGATTGGTTAAAGGTTATCTTTCTTTACTGCTATGGAGTTTAGTAAAGAGAGTTATGCAAAATACTCGCCTCCTGTCATTATTAAAATTAAGATTATAGGGGGCGGAGCCAGCACCGGAGAAAGCAAGACGCACATTGCCACAGCTCCGTCTACAAAAGACTGATATCGGGAAAAAAGCCCACACCGTCGAGTACCAAACAGCTCCAGGTGTGCCCTATGACATGGGGAAGAAAACAAAGAAATCCCGAGCGGATCCGAGCACGGGTTCCCAGGATATCGGGACTTACTTGCGCACGGCCATGCGGCCCGACTTTTCCAAGATGGCGCGGGCTGAGGCCTACTCCTCTCCTTCGTCGGATGACGACGGTCTGCTGGCCGACCTACAAACAGCGGCTCCGGCACTGACAAAGCCCATGGCACCCAGGGAGCTGGGAGATGCGGCTCCGGCCACGAAAGCCGACATAAAGGCCCTGATGAAGGACATTCAAGCCATGTTCCAGGCAGATATGGCGCAGGTACGAGGGGAAGTCTCCACGCTCACCAGCAAGGTGCACTCAGTGGAAGAAACTGTCCAAAATATCAGCACCGCACAAACGAACACTGATACAGCCTTACACTCACTGCAACAGCAATGTAATTCACTGACAGCACAATTAGCCAACATGGAGGACAGAACTAAAGCTCGCAATCTGAGAGTCCGAGGAATCCCCGAAACGATCACGGCGGCTGAACTGCCTCACTACTGCAGACGGCTTATAGCGACTCTTCTCCTGCCTAAACAAGCAAAACAGCTAGGAATCGACTCCTGCTTTCCCCTACCCAGGGCCAGCAAAGCACCAAAAGAAGCCCCAGGTGATGTGCTCATAAAATTTGTAAGGGACTCCGACGGGGGGGTGATCATGGGGGCCGCTAAAGGCTCTCCAACGGTTCCCTTCGAGGGGGCTCACCTGGCGCTTTTCAGGGACTATTCCAGACATACCCTAACATGGAGGAGATCCTTTAAGCAAATCACACAGCAGCTCCGGGACAAATCTATACCATATAAGTGGGGACCGCATCGCCTACTGGTAGAAAGGGAAGGCAAAGTACACTCTCTTCTACAACTCTCCAATGCTCCCACCTTCCTCGAGGCTCTTGGGGTGCCGACTAACACTCTACCAGCGGTACAGGGCACAACATGGAATGTGGACAATATCAGACCCTTCGTACCAAAGGGACTTGAGCCACGCACCTCTGAACCCCCCGCCTGAAGGTGACGGCTGCGGTCAAGCCGGGACTCAATGTTTACATGTTCACTTGTTTAAGTTCAGTTTACACCATGTAACTCCACGACCACACTAACGTGATGCTAGCTAAAGTTTATGTTTAATTTTACTTTCAGGGCTCTGTAGTTTCAAATCACCCTTACCTTCCAACTGGCTCCGAAAGCATATAGCCAGACACCCAGCCTAGAATAAATCCCCCCCCCCTTAATTGGGACGTGCAATGCTCTCACTCACAGGCGCACAAGCGACCAGTAGCACAACCCGAGACGGACCTACCATGACCTGCAGTTACACCAGCCACCACGTAACATGCCTTAGGTCACCGACTACTTCCCTGACCAAGCGACATTTCACTAACGCAGGCGCCTTAAGAAATTTAATCCATTAATATGCCTAATACTGACAAACACCAGGGCGCATCCCGCTCCTAGCAAGCACCCTCTAACCCAAAGAACACCTACCATGACGCAGATATGAGGGAACCTAGCCAGACAAACACTATCTTTATTATTTAAAAAAGGGTTAACATATTGCATGTGTTGATGTACTGCATCATGAAAATGTACTATGGTACAATTGTTTGTTCACTTTCTCTTTGACACCAACTGAAAAGCTATGTATTCTATAACCGCAAAAATAAAGAATACAAAAAAAAAAAAAAAATTAAGATTATAAGTACACTAACGCTAGCATAATCTTCAATTCTAACGTAGCCCAAACGGACTCTATGTTTGCCTCACTACCTTTTATTAGGCTAGATTTTATGCTATCCTTCACATACAAGGCCACCCCTCCCTCTTTCTTGCCTTCCCTATCTTTCCTATATAAAGAGTACCCTGGTATTGCTATGTCCCAGTCATTTTTCTCATTGTACCATGTCTCAGTAACAGAGACTAAATCTACACTATCAGTTGCCATTATTGCCACAAGTTCATGGATCTTATTCCCTAAACTGCGAGCATTTGTAGACATGACTCTAAGCTTATAATTTTTTAACACACTTGCTACAGGCACCTTCTGTCCTTGTTTTGGGGGACAATTGGATTGATGTTTTATCACCCTTTTGCCCCCCCCTCCTAGTTTAAATACATCCTAGCAAAACCTCTGAACTGCTCACTGAGAACATTTGTTCCCTTTTGAGAAAGATGCAAACCATCTTTTTTGTACAGCTTATCTCCATTCCAAACAGAGCTACCATGAGAAATAAAGCCAAATCCTTGCTCCCGACACCATTCACCAAGCCACAAATTAAAGTCCCTAATACGCATCCGCCTGTCGTTCTGAGTGTTATGCACAGGCAGAACTTCAGAGAATGACAGTGTGGAAGCAACCTGCCGTATATCATTGGCAAAAACACTAAAAACTTCCTTAACCTCTGAAACCTCATTGCAAGCCAAGTCATTTGTCCCTAGATGGACAAGTACATCCAATTCCCCTTCCTGCTTTGCTTGCTTAACAATATTACAGATACGTCTCCTGTCTCTGTGAGCAGTAGCTCCGGGAAGACACCTCACAAGACCACCATTGTCCATCTCCACACCTCTTATAATGGAATCCCCCAACAACAACTGCTTTCTATTAGGCCTCACCATAGTCTCCAAGCCGGTCTCCACAACACCACTAGTCTCAGTGCCTCTCTCCACAGCACCACTAGCCTCAGTGCCTCTCTCCACAACACCACTAACCTCAGTGCCTCTCTCCACAACACCATTACACTCTGAAAGTGCAGAAAATGAATTATGAAGAGCAACAGACTGTGCAAAATGCCTTTTATCCACAACTCTAAGTCTACCAGATCCTACAGTAATCCATCTGCCATTCCTAGTATGTCTCTGCAGCAGTGGCTTTGCAACAGTTCTAGTCTGAGTTTGTTCACCAGATAATTTACAAATCTCAGACTTCAAAAATACAATCTCCTGCCACAAGATAGAGAACTGTCTACAGATTAGACAACAACCAAACCTCCAAAAAGTGGAACGTAAAACAAATGCATAGCAATTGTTACACTGAACTAAGTCTGCCATTCCAATGAGGAGAATAATTTAAATCTAACAAATCTTAACATTGTATTTATCCTCCTGAATACCTCAGATTACCTCCAGTTTATCTCCAGAATATCTCCAACTACACACTTAGAAGTAGCACCAAGCTATATTAGACAAACTAACAACAAGCCTTATATAACTCCTAAAATCACCACCCACTAGGAATGTTTAACACCTGGTTAGGCCTCTGCTTATTTGCAAACAATAGCTAATTAACCAGCAATCAATAGCAAGTAACTAGCTTAATCAAATCAAATGCCTTATAATTACCAACAGGAATTCAAACCTTGTGCAATCAGTAACCTTTTCCTACAGATGAATCTTACCTGTAACAGTAGAAAAGAAAGCTCTTAGCACAACTCTTAGACAGTTGAAGCTTCTGTAAAACTCTCCAGAATATCTCCAACTACACACTTAGAAACAGCACTTAGAAGTAGCACCAAGCTATATTAGACAAGCTAATGACAACAAGCCTTATATAACTCCTAAAATCACCACCCACTAGGAATGTTTAACACCTGGGTAGGCCTCTGCTTATTTGAAACAATAGCTAATTAACCAGCAATCAATAGCAAGTAACTAGCTTAATCAAATCAAATGCCTTATAATTACCAACAGGAATTCAAATCTTGTGCAATCAGTAACCTTTTCCTACAGATGAATCTTACCTGTAACAGTAGAAAAGAAAGCTCTTAGCACAACTCTTAGACAGTTGAAGCTTCTGTAAAACTCTCCAGAATATCTCCAACTACACACTTAGAAACAGCACTTAGAAGTAGCACCAAGCTAAATGGCGGACGCAGAGCGGGTCCCTGACAGCATGGAGGACAAGCACGACATCCTGGCCAGGCTGAACAGGATCTTTGATCATTTCTGGCGCAAACTGGCAAATAAGCAGCACCAGCCTGTCGGGAACCAGTCGGATGACCACTCGCGGCACAAGCCGATCCCAGTCACACGGCAGAAGACCACAGCGGCGACAGCCAGCCGAGCCTTAAAATGGCGGCGAGGCGGGAAACAGGCCTTGCCGAGAGGCGCACATACCCACCCGGGTAGTTTACCAGAGAGCAAAAGCTTACCTTGGAAACACCCTCCAACAGCAGCAAAGGTACCAGAGGGAGCAGGTTCACCGTGGGGGCTCAACATCCATAACACCTTCCACAAGCCCAGGACAGCGCAGCAGCATGCACCCACGGCGAGGGCTCCAAATCCTACTCTTGGACCACCCGAATGGAAAGCCACGCGGGTGCGAACCCGGCAGCATCACCCATGAAAGCGGAGATCCGCACGCAAACAGCAGCACACAACCAGCCCCTCCGCCACTCCCAAGCGAGGAAAAATCCCCAGCATGAGAAGCCGAACAGGGGGTGGTCGGGAGGGGCAGGCCTCGACAACAGCCCGGGGCTGGCAAGCAGGGAGGACCTTTCCCGAAGCTCGTAAACCGGAGAAAGCCAAGCATGGACGCTGTGACCCATACCCAGCCACCAAGCCACATGGCGACACCAGGCCCCACCGAGAGACCAGTGGACTCATGCCTTTCAGGGGTGATGGACTGCCACAAAAAGGAGTTGATTGAACAACCATATGCAGGTCCCTTGGGGTCTAGCCGGGGGGCAGGGAGGCAATTGCCCCCCAAGCCGCCCTAAATTCTTTTAAGACTGGCCGCTGCAGGGCCGGTCCTAATGCTGCAGCCGCCTGAGCACTCTGTTAAGAGCCTGAGGCGACTGCAGCTGCTTCTCCCCTCCCCTTCTCTGTAGCATGGCCGAGCTCCTCTCTGGTCCGCGGTGCCCGGCCGGAGTGATAGGAAGGTACACACTCGGTGTGCCCTGAGTTTCTGTTTCCTGTAACCGCCTGCACTGACAGGAAGTGCACATTGAGTGTGCACCTTCATATCACTCCGGCCGGGCACTGTGGACTCGGCCACGCTACAGGGAAGGGGAGGGGAGAAGAAAGGGAGGGGTAAGAAGAGGGGGGTAAGAAGAAGGGGGGTAGGAAGAAGGTGGGCAAGAAGAAGGTGGGGCAGGGAAGAAGAGGGGGGTAAGAAGAAGAGAGGGGGGCAAGAAGAAGAGGGGTAAGAAGAAGAGGGGTAAGAAGAAGGGGGAGTAAGAAGAAGAGTGGGTAAGAAGAAGGGGGGGTAAGAAGAAGAAGGGGAGTAAGAAGAACAAGGGGGAATAAGAAGAACAAGGGTGGGTAAGAAGAAAAGGGGGTAAGCAGAAGAGGGGGTAAGAAGAAAGGGGGAGTAAGAGGAAGAAGGGGGGTAAAAAGAAGAAGGGGGAGTAAGAAGAACACAGGGGGGTAAGAAGAAGAGGGGGTAAGAAGAAGGGGGGAGTAAGAAGAAGAGTGGGTAAGAAGAAGGGGGGTAAGAAGAAGGACCGCTGCAGGGCCGGTCCTAATGCTGCAGCCGCCTGAGCACTCTGTTAAGAGCCTCAGGCGGCTGCAGCTGCTTCTCCCCTCCCCTTCTCTGTAGCATGGCCGAGCTCCTCTCCGGTCCGCGGTGCCCGGCCGGAGTGATAGGAAGGTACACACTCGGTGTGCCCTGAGTTTCTGTTTCCTGTAACCGCCTGGACTGACAGGAAGTGCACATTGAGTGTGCACCTTCCTATCACTCCGGCCGGGCACTGTGGACCGGAGAGGAGCTCGGCCATGCTACAGGGAAGGGGAGGGGAGAAGAAAGGAGGGGTAAGAAGAAGGGAAGGGGTAAGAAGAGGGGGGTAAGAAGAAGGGGGGAAGAAGGGTGGGGGGGCAGGAAGAAGAGGGGGTAAGAAGAAGAGAGGGGAAGAAGAAGGGGGGAAGAAGAGGATAAGAAGAAGAGGGGATAAGAAGAAGAGGGGGGAGTAAGAAGAACAAGGGGGAATAAGAAGAACAAGGGTGGGTAAGAAGAAAAGGGGGTAAGCAGAAGAGGGGGTAAGAAGAAAGGGGGAGTAAGAGGAAGAAGGGGGGTAAAAAGAAGAAGGGGGAGTAAGAAGAACACAGGGAGGAGGGGGGGAGAGTAAGGGTGAGGAGAAGGGGAAATGAGGAGAACGGGGGGACTGAGAGGAACACAGGGAGGGTGGGTGGTGAGGAGAACACAGTGAGGAAAGGGGGTAAGAAGAACACAGTGGGGGGCGGAGAGGAGAAGGGGATATGAGGAGAACACAGGTAGGGGGGAGGTGAGAAGAACACAGGGGGTTAGGAGAACACATGGAGGGGGGTGAGAAGAACACAGGAAGGGTGGAGGGGGGGATGAGAAGAGACCGCTAGGGGAGGGTGGGGGAGAGCTCTAAGGGACAGAACGGACAGCTCTATAGGACAGGGGGCAAGACAGGGAGCTCTTTCACACTATTCACACACACAATGCATCCCTATACATACACAGAAACACACAATGCATCCCTACACACACAGAAACACAACATGCTTCCCTTACACACAGAGAAACACACAATGCATCCATTACACACACAATGCAACCCTTACACACAAAGACAAAGCATCCTTTGCACACATACACAGAAACACACAATGCAAACCCTTATACACACATGCAAACACACACACTGCTTTTCTGACATCCACACATAAACACAATGCATCTCTTACACACACTCAATGCACACACATACAGACACACACCTTGCATCCCTTTTGCATACAAACACAGATTCACACAATGCATCCCTTACACACACCCAGAAACACACAATACATCCCTTATACACAAATACACACTGCTTCCACTACACACAAACACACTGCATCACCTACACAAACTGGTATCCCTATACATTACATACCATAAGCACACATATTATATCCTCTACAATAACACATAACACACTCCACTCCCTGTGAGCGAACTCATGAGTGGGTGGAACATATAAGTGGGCCTTATGGGTATACTCACCGTCAGGCCCTGTGGCCCAGACCTTGAGCTGTATAAGGGGCCACAAAAAAATGGAGCTGCTTCCAATTCTCCCAGAACATTGAATTTTGTGACCACAGTTGCAAACAGCCTCCAGAGATCCTGTTCTACACCAGACCAGTGGAGCCAAACTGCAGCCCATCATCATCCTCATCTGGTTGTAAGTAGGCAATCTAGTATATTATTAGTGACACTAATCTATAATTTACCTCACATTAAAGGGACACTATAGCTTAATGAAGTGGTTCTGGTGTCTATAGCCGGTCCCTGCAGGCTTTTTAATGTAAACACACACTGTGTGCAGTTTTGGCATTAGTTCATATGGCAGATTATATAGGTGGGGCATTGTGATGTCACATGGGGGGGCAGCTAATTTTTCCTTTGCCTAGGGCAGCAAAAATCCTTGCACCGGCTCTGATCCTGGGCAGGTGCACCAGTCTACTGGTGACCCACAGGAGGGGAGTTGATTGCACTGCACTCTCCTCCTGCCCAGACCTGTCTTTACTGCAGTGCAAGTGCCCTCTGCCCCTAATTTACAGTGGCTCACACTCATAGCAAGCAGTGCCTGGAGCCCTTTGCAGAGACGGGAACAAAGAGGTTCTGCGGCAGCTGGCCGTCCTGCAAGCATTACATTAAACAGCTGTTCCCCATGCAGCCACAGGTGGCGCTGTGCTGGGAGAATGTGATTACTCTTCACTTCCTCCCAGCCTACAGAGCAGCGCATGGGAGAGAGAGAGGAGGAGGCATGATTTAATCTTACAACAAATCCACTAAGCAAATCTTTATAAATTTAGGGGGATCAGCTATGTTTCCACAGTTTATTGGTGTTTACTCTGATGTCTGTATTAATATTGAGGGATTTCTAAGTAGTAACATCAGTGTGTGTCAGCAGGGCCAGCCGTTGGGGTCAGCACGCTGTGCGGTAACACAGCTCACAAGTTGGGGGCACCAGCATATTTAATTTAAACGATTCGCTGGTGGTCCACTGGTGCGCACCAGCAGTAGGTGCAGTCAAATTATATCCTCTCCCTCTTGGTTCCGGCGCTCAGTTAGTGAGTCAGAGCACAGGCTCAGAGATTCTCAGCCTGTGCTCTGACAACATTGAAAGTCAGAGCCGTGAAGGAGCAGGTATGGCAAAGAGCTACTGATTAGCATAACATCAATATCCGTTATAAAACCAGGAAAAGGTGGGCATGGATGGTGAACTGATTTGGTGGTGCAATGGGGCCCTAAATAAAAATGTTACCCTCCCCAGGTGACCAGAGGTCCCCAAACCCCCTAGTCACCCCCTCCCCCCCAAAAAAATTAACCCCCTCCCTACCCCCTTACCCTAAAAATAATGAGGGGGGGGGACCTTTAACTAAGTACCTGTAAAAAAAAATAAAACTTACCATTCAATGTTTTCTTTCTTCTAAAATCTTCTTTTTTCAGCCCCAAAATCAAGTAACATTCATTCATATAAAATGTAAGTTACTTAGCCAGTGAGTGTAATGACAGCAATAAATAAGTAGATCACTCCCTAATTCCCACGGTATTAGGGAGCTATCTACTAAAAGGCTGAAAGACCTAAATTGGTCTTTCAGACAAATTTACTAATACTAAGTAAAGATTACTTAGTATTAGTAAATTATGCCCCTACTCGCTATACCGCGAGTAGGGGCATGTCTATTAAACAGTGAGCCTATGGCTGCTCACTTTAAAAAAAAAAAAAGTCCCCCCCTCCCTGAGCGGTGGGTGGGGGCCCTAAATGCTATTAAGGGGGGGACCTAATGTCCTCCCCCATGGCCCCCACCCCTGAGCAGCAGGTGGGGGCCGTAAATTGGAATAAGGGGGGGACCTAATGTCCCCACAGGCTGCTCACTGTTTACTAGACATGCCCCTACTCGCGGTATAGCGAGTAGGGGCAAAATTTACTAATACTAAGTAATTTTTACTTAGTATTAGTAAATTTGGCTGAAAGTCCAATTTAGGTCTTTCAGCCTTTTGGTAGATAACTTCCTAATACCGTGGGAATTAGGGAGTTATCTACTAAGCGGCTGCAAGAGACGTCCCGAAGTGCCGAAGTCCCGAAATTCCAAAATGCCGAAGTTCTGAAATTCCGAAGTGCCAAATTATGGAGAGGTCTAATGCGCCTGCGCTTATATATATATATACATATAGTGATATGGATGTTGAATTTATATCTGTGACATCTTTTCACCTGTTTGCAATAGGTGACATAAATTATCAATTTCCAAATTCATAATGCATATCACCTGGAAGGGTTAATCCATAATACTCTTTTACCTTCCATTGACTGACCTTAGCTCTGACAGACTGAACATGTATATCATTATAAATAAAGGTTTGTGATAAGTAAAGTTTCTGCCTGTCTTTCTTTTTCTTTTTCTTTTTTAATTAAATTATATATCATAAAACATTTAACATAATTGTACATACAACACAAATTATATATGATTCGTACTGGAATCATACATCACAAAAGACATACCCTATTCACAGATATAAATTGCATTACAATTGTATCCATTATACCAACTTAGTAATATCTAGGCTTAGTAATTAGGACTTTTCTAATCATCTTTTTTTTATAATTTCTTGATGTTTTACTCTCTCTTATCTCTAGTTTTTCTCTTTCCTTCTTTTCTCTCCTTTACCTTTAATTTATTTCTTGTAAGACCTTTATGGAGCTACAATGGTTATCTTATTGCTCATTTTTTTATTTATTGTTTACCATATCTGTGACTATACCCATTCATACCAACAATTTAATTTGGGTTAGATCTTAAGATCTTGCATATAATTTTTTCTTATTTCCTTTCTTTCTCTTTTACCTTCTGTTTCTCCCTATTTCTTCTCTTCCTTTTCCCTTTTCTTTTTCCTTTTTTTTCTCCTTTCCTTCCTTTCTTCCTTTCTCTCCTTATTTTCTATCCCTCCGTACGATTAATATCAGTTATCAAAGTATTATACATCTCTCTTAGCATGTTATCTTTATGAACAGTATACCAAATTACTCCTTTTTCCATCTCCAGTTGGTTTTGAATTTGGGCCTTTAGTTGATATATATTGGGGATATCGATTTTTTTCCACATTTTTGCGATCAAAAACTTAGTAGCCATAAGGCAGTGGGTGACTAATATTTCATTTTTCTTGTCTAGTTTAATGTTATGCATGTGAAATAATGCTATTTCTGGAGTGGAATCTAGTTGGATATTGCTTACTGCCTTTATTAATTTAAATGTCATATCCCATAGTGGTTGAATTCTGGGACAGTTCCACCATATATGTGTCATGGAACCATCCATATAAAAGCATCTCCAGCAATTGGGGGAATTATTCTGAGAAATTTTATTCAACTTCTTTGGAACCATGTACCATCTATAGCTAACTTTAATGAAATTTTCTAATATATTTAGACAATGAATATGTTTTTTGATTTTAAGAAAAGCAAGGCACCACAAGTTAAAATTAACCTTTGTGTCTAGCTCTCTCTCCCAATTTTTAAAAGCTGTAGGGGTATTTGTTTGATTAATATAGTTTAATAAATCAAGTATTAAATAAAGTTTCTGCCTGTCTTTCAGTTACATTTTAACTGTTGAAGTACTTCATTTATATTAATTAGATTATATTAATCATACCACTCTGCAAACTTAAACGAATATCGAGTAGTTTATGATAATAAAAACATTTTACATTTTCTTCTAAGGTTAAAACATTATTCATTATTGCAGTTGTTATTGTAATCATATGATTTCTAACTATCATGATTTAATTATGTAAAGATTTAATTATGTAAAGATACATTGTTAAAATCAGATAATCTGGCCACTGCTTGGATTTAATCTACAAGTAAATGTCCAGTAGATAAAGGAATCTGCATTGTTTAGCTATTTCCTTTTGCTGCAAGACACATTAATCTGGACAATCAACTGGATAATCAACTGGTATGCTCTTATACTTATGTATAACGGATATTGTTTGTAGGCCAGACCGCAGCTGCATATGGCATTTTAGCAATATTTTTCAATTACATTTCAGGTATTCACAAAGTCTATCCACCTTTGTAATTAAAACATTGTGGGTTTTTTTATACCATTAATTATAGTATCTGTTTCATATTACATATTGTCAGTGACACACTTCTGATACTGGGAAAAAAATTGCATTTTTGCTTTAGTAATTATAATGTTTCTGTCCATGCGCCACATTCCTGGAAGTCCAGAATATATCAAGAATCCTTTGTCTATGGTTCCAGGGAGCCAGTTAACGTTTTGATTGGTATAGTTATACCAAAAGAGCAAGGAGTACATCGGTAGATCACATCTGCAATAGAACCATTACAGATTCCTTGTTGTATCAATGTCTCTGTGTTTATGTTTACAGAAGTTCCTTGCTTTTCAAGTATGTACATAATATGTAGAAAAGCTGCAAATCGTGCTTTAGTACAAGTGTCCCATGATGCAAATCATGCTTTAGTACAAGTGTCCCATGATGTCAAGTTTCCCAAAGGTTTTGCTGGCCTTTTATATTCCATTCTCTTGGCAGGGCATCTGCTCTTAGTAGGCCGGTCTTGTTATTATTTATTAATTGCATCAAGGTTTCTTTAATTAATTAATGTGTTTCTTCCAAATTCAAATTCAGATGCCACCAAATGTCATTGTAAAGTTCATTATTACAGAATATGGTTCCAGTATGTTTTTTCACTCTAAAATTTAAGTTCACTTTAAGCACATGGCAATACATGATTAGCCAATTTTAAAATAGGCCAACACTTATGGGGCCTACAAGCTTGAGCCTTGGAATCAAGGTGCATTCCTTAACAGTCAATCAGGTATTCTCAGTACTAGATTCCATCTTGAGAAATAGCTGGGTGTTGACAGTTATCAGTCCTTATTTCTTTTTTCCGGTCATCTTCTGTCTGGAAACATAATAGCAAATGTCCAGAATTAGCATAGCACTTCTTTTCAGCATAAGAAGGCTGTTTGCGGTAGTCATTCAATGATAAACTATATGGCAAAGTCTTTTCTTGCATCACCTTCATAGATGCATCCAAAGTCTTTCACAAGCATCTGTGCCGTCTTTTTCTCTGGTTCCAGCATGCTTTGCCATCATCGTTGAGTTCATTATTAGGATTTGAAATAGTCCAGTCACATCTTTCTCATGTATAATCGGTTTTTGGAATGATCTTCAATAGATCTTCAATAGTGTAGGTCCAGTTCCTGCAGGCTTTTTAATGTAAACACTGGCTTTTCAGAAAAGGAGGTGTTTACATTGCTGCCTAGGAACACCTTTAGTGGCAGTCAGGGGCGGACTGAGAACCCTCAGGGCCCTCGGGCAAAATAAATCAAGGGCCCCCTTACAGGCCCCACCCATACTCTGCAGCAAGCGCCACCCTTGTCCCGCCTCCATGCACCGCCTCCAGCCACACCCTACACAATCTTTAGACACAAGGAACAAAAGGGCAATAAGCCCTTCGAGGCCCCAGTAGAGACTACAATTGAGGGTTAATGGGCCATGGAGGGGGGTCTTTCTAGCGGAGGCTATCTCAGTGTCCTTTAGAGAGTGTGTTAGAAAGAATCCCCTCCAAGCCCCATTAGAGACTACAATGGAATCTAAAAGGCTTGGAAGGGGGTCTTTCTAACAGAGGCCATCTCAGCGTCCATTAGATATCCCCTGCTGGAAACAGTCGCCTCCAGGCCCCAGTAGAAACTACAATTGAGGGCTAATGGGCCATGGAGGGGATTTCTAGCAGAGGCTAGAGTCTAATGGGGCCTGGAGGGTGGTCTCTCCAGCTCTCTTCCTATTCACAATATAGCAACACAACATAGCTCGCTGATACCTAAGCCAAGTTGGCTCCTCTTACCTTAATTACTGTTGCTGGCTGGCAGTCTGTGGGCTTGCTGGCTGCGCTGGCAGGCTGTGGGCTTGCTGGCTACTGCCGGCAGGCTGTGGGCTTGCTGGCTACTGCCGGCAGGCTGTGGGCTTGCTGACTGCGGCTGGCAGGCTGCGGCTGGCAGGCTGTGGCTTGCTGGCTGTAAGCCTGTGGCTTGCTGTAGGCCTGTGGGCTGGCTACTGGCCTGTGGGCTGGCTAACTGGCTGGCTACTGGGGCACTTGTAGATTATTTAAAGAAATAATCCATGCACAATAACCACTACTGCTCCAGAGTAAGTAGTCAAACCGTTTAAGAACAGTTTGACAACTTACCTGGGGTCTGCTGGAATATGAGGCTGTAGTAGGGAATAGGAGCAGTGGTGCAATGTGTGTGAAAGGTTCAGTGTGTGTGTGGGGGTGTAGTGTGTGAATGTGTAGGGTGTGTGGGCAGGGTATGTGTGTGGCAATGTTAGTATGGGGGGCTGTGTATGGGGGTCTGTGTGTATATGGGTGGGCAGTGTATGTGTGTGTGTGTGTGAGGCAATGTGTGTAAGTGTGTATGGTGTGTATGGGGGCAGTGTGTGAATGTGTATGGTGTGTGTGTGGGGGCAGTGTGTTTATGGGGCTAGAGTTCACTCTCACCACTGCGACCACCAGGAATCCATGGGGGTTACAGTGTTGAGTGATCTCTAGCCCGTAGCTCCAGGGCTAGAGTTGACTCTCGCAAGAGCAGTAACGTTGCCATGGTAACCGCGGCAACGCTCTGTGCTCGCGCAAGAAGGACCAAGAGGAGCTGCAGGGTGAGCTCCCAGGTCCTCTCTTCCTCCCCTGCCCGCACGGTGCCTGCGGACAGGGGAGGGGGGGCATTCTTCCCTCTCTTTCTCCCCCCCTCCCCAACTCTCTATTCCCCCTCTTTCTCCCCGTGTCTCATTCTTCCCTCTCTGTCTCTTTCTCCCCCTCCCATCTCTCTATTCCCCTCTTTCTCCCTGTGTCTCATTCTTCCCTCTCTCTGTCTCTGTCTCCCCTGTCTCATTCTTCCCTCTCTGTCTCTGTCTCCCCCCTGTGTCTCATTCTTCCTCTCTTTCTCCCCATCTCTTTAGTGCCCCCCCATCTCTGACCACCTCTCCCATCTCTGACTCTTTCCCCCCTCCCATCTCTCCCCTCTTTCTCCCCCCCATCTCTCTGATACACTCTTTTTCTCCCCCCATCTACTCCCCATCTTTCTCCCCTCCCATCTCTATCCCCCCTTACTCAAGTCCAGAGGGGCGGCCGTTGATACTGGAGCAGCCCGGACTGGGTGGCAACCTGGCGATCGGCGGCATTCCTCTCAATAACACTGAAGGAGGAGGAGGAGCATGTGTCTGCATGCTCCTTTGCGGTTCCCACATCCTGTGCTGGGGTGGAACCGCAGGGAGCCTGACAGACACATCCTCCCTCCTCAGTGTTATTGGCGGAACTGCCGACTGATGCCACCCGACCCGCGGCTCTAGCATTCCTCACAGTGTGCCACCGGACCGGCCACCCGGTGGCACCTGCAGTCCCCCCCAATCCAGCCCTGCCACCGGGCCCCCTGAAGGCGGCCCTGGCGGCGGGCCCCCCTCCCGGCCGGGCCCTCGGACCGTGTCCGAAGTGCCCGACCGGTCAGTCCGCCCCTGGTGGCAGTCATTCAGACAGCCACTAGAGTTGCTTAATAGGTCAGTGATGCTGATGTTTAGTGTCTCCACACTCTGCATGGAGACACAGAATGCTACCATAAGGATTGATTCATTGCATCTCTATGCAGAGGTGATAATTGGTGTAGTGTGGCATTTTGCTGCGCATGTTTTTCTATGAAAAAGAACTGGATTAGCTGAGATCATCAAATTTGATGATTTTAGCCAAGGAGGCGGAGTCAGCTACGATGAGACTGGAGCAGTGCTGGAATAAAGGTGGGTAAAATAACCTTTTACTACTCTGAAAAAAAGGACGGCCACCTAAACTATGCTTTCAAAACTATAGTGTCAGGAATACACGTTTGTATTCCTGACACCATGATGTTCCCTTCCGTAAATGTTAAATATAACTTTCAAAAAAGGCTGTCAAGGTTATTCTATTAAAGTGGCACTGTCATGCTGAATCCTGTTTTTTTTTTTTAACCCCCCCTCCCGCCTCCACTACATCTAACTGACCCCATAGTCACCCCCAAACGCCCCAAAGCCCCCCACATTACCTATTTTCTGCCCCGATCTTTATTCAGGGCGCCGCCATCTTTGTGTGGGTAGATGAAATCCCTGTGGGACACGTTATCTGCCCATACTAGACAGACTGTGAGATTCCCCCACATGCCCAGTGAAACACCTGGACATGCGAACGGGAATTTAATCCATTCATTAATTCGTCAGAAAGACGAATGAATGAATAGAAATGTCAGACGAACATTCCCAAGAACTTTCCCACGCTGTGTAAAATGACACAGAGCACTGTGATTGGATGGATTTCAAGCCATCCAATCACAGTGCTCTGTGTCATTTTACACAGCGTGGGAAAATTCAAAAGAGCTTTCGCACGCTGTGTAAAATGACACAGATCACTGTGATTGGATGGCTTGAAATCCATCCAATCACAGTGCTCTGTGTCATTTTACACAGCGTGGGAAAATTCCCAAGAACTTTCCCACGCTGTGTAAAATGACACAGAGCACTGTGATTGGATGGATTTCAAGCCATCCAATCACAGTGCCCTGTGTCATTTTACACAGCGTGGGAAAATTCAAAAGAACTTTCCCACGCTGTGTAAAATGAAACAGAGCACTGAAATTTGGATGGCTTGAAATCCATCCAATCACAGTGCTCTGTGTCATTTTACACAGTGTGGGAAAGTTCTTTGGAATTTTCCCACGCTGTTTAAAATGACAAAGAGCACTCTGATTGGCTTAAACCCACCAATCAGAGTGTTCTTAGCCTAATTGCAGGGCGGGGCAAGGCTTTATAAGCCTTCCCCCACCTTGCGGAGCTCAGTCTGCGCGGAGCCCTCCATGGGTGAAGATGGATTATTTTTTTGCACTCTGGTTTTTTCTTTTTCATCAGGTTTTTTTTTTTGCGCTCGGGATTTTTATTTTATTTTAAGTTCGATGGTTATGATGGCTTTTTTATTTGGTCTTTTTTGGGGCTGAAAAATGAAGATTTGAGAAAAAAGAAGACGTCGAATGGTAAGTTTAATTTTACTTTACAGGTTAGTTATTTTATTCCCCCCTCACAATTTTTTAGGGTGAGGGGGGTAGGTAGGGGACTTTTTATTTGGGTGGGTGACTAAGGGCTTGGAGACTTCTAGTCACCTTTGATGGGGGGGTGAATTTGACTTAGGGCCCCCACCCGCCGCCCAGGGGTGGGGGCCGTGGGGGGGGAGGACAGTAGGTCCCCCCCTCATTATCTTTATGGCCCCCACCTGCCGCCCAGGGGTGGGGGCCGGGGGGGATGACAGTAGGTCCCCCCCCATTATCTTTATGGCCCCCACCCACCACCCGAGGGGGACCGGGGGGGAGGACAGTAGGTCCCCCCCCCTCATTATCTTTATGGCCCCCACCTGCCGCCCGGGGGAGGGACGGGGGGGTGGACAGAAGGTCCCCCCCTCATTATCATTATGGCACATGGGTGGGGGCCGGAGGGGGACAATAGGTCTCCCCCCTATTTTACTTTAGGGCCCCCACCCGTCGTTTAGGGGTGGGGGCCAATAGTTTTTTTTTGTTTGCCACGGGCTGCTCACTGTTTACTAGACATGCCCCTACTCGCGGTATAGCGAGTAGGGGCTGAATTTACTAATACTAAGTAATCTTAGTATTAGTAAATGTGGCTGAAAGACCAATTTAGGTCTTTCAGCCTTTTAGTAGATAACTCCCTGATGCCGTGGGAATTAGGGAGTTATCTACTAAGCTGCTGCAAGATGCAGCCACAGCAAGAATAGGATCGGAGTTTCATTCATTCGAATGAAATTGCGATCCCAACAAAATGCCGAATTGCGTTCTAAAAGAAACGAACATACTGTCCTTATTCAGTTAGAACGCAATTCGGCAGTTTCGTGTAAAATGACAGGAAGCATTGTGGAAACACAGAGGAAAGGTAAGAATTATGGGAAAATTGCTTTGACCAGCGGAAATGAAGCACACTTTGTTCCTCCGCTGGTCAAGCGGAGGAATCCTCCGTAAGGCAAAGAGTCCCTACTTTGTCTTATGATTTTAAAGAAAACTAAAGAAGACAGGAAGAAAAGAAGAACAGATCCTGAGAGAGGGGGAGAAGAGGAAGATATTGAGGAAAGGTAAGTTCAGCATGACAGTGCCGCTTAAGTAAGAATTGCTAGGAAAAGTGCATTTTAAAGTATAGGCCTACAAAGCTGTATTGGAAAAATTCTCCAATTCAATTTTGTTGTTCATTTTGATTATTTAGGAATTTCATTTTAAATTGACTTTGAATTTCTTGCAATTCTTACTTTAATGAATAACCCTGTGTATATATCTTTCATAATTTCATATTATCATTCTGTGTCAAAGTAGGAGTATAAGTGTGTGTGTAATGTTGATGTGTGAAATCCTACAGTATAATTTGTGTAGTGCCAGAGAGTATAAAATGCAGACGTCCATATAGCGTAAATGGGTAAATGCATTGTTCCATGAGTGAGTGGAGCAGATATTTGTAAAAGCAGGAGTGTATTTGAATGGAATGTTGATGTGTAAATGTAAGGGTGTATTTATGTTGAATGTGAATACATGGGTGTAATTTGTGGAGGACTTGTGTGTTGGTGTATGAATGTCAGTGTGTATTAGTATGAAATGTCTGTGTAAGAATGTAAAGATAGATTTGTATGGATTGTTTGTGTGTGAATGCAGTATGTTTGCACAGTGTATATGTGAATGCAGGAGAGTATTTGTATGTGTGCAGAGTTTAAGCATGTGAATGAGGGTTGCATGTAACCTTTGTGTCAGAGTGCATGTGTATGTGTGAATGAGAGGTGTATTTAAACCTATGTCAGTGTATGTGTGAATGAGAGGTGTATTTGAAACCTGTGTCAGTGTATGTGTGAATGAAAGGTGTATTTGAAACCTGTGTCAGTGTATGTGTGAATGAGAGGTGTATTTGAAACCTGTGTCAGTATATGTGTGAATGAGAGGTGTATTTGAAACCTGTGTCAGTGTATGTGTGAATGAGCGGTGTATTTGAAACTTGTGTCAGTGTATGTGTGAATGAGAGGTGTATTTGAAACTTGTGTCAGTGTATGTGTGAATGAGAGGTGTATTTGAAACCTGTGTCAGAGTGTGTGAATGAGAGTTGTATTTAAAACCTGTGTTAGAGTGTGTGAATGAGAAATGTATTTAAAACCTGTGTCAGAGTGTGTGAATGAGAGGTGTATATGAAACCTGTGTCAGAGTGTGTGAATGAGAAATGTATTTAAAACCTGTGTCAGAGTGTGTGAATGAGAGGTGTATATGAAACCTGTGTCAGAGTGTGTGAATGAGAAATGTATTTGAAACCTGTGTTAGAGTGTGTGAATGAGAAATGTATTTGAAACCTGTGTCACAGTGTGTGAATGAGAAATGTATTTGAAAGCTGTGTCAGAGTGTGTGAATGAGAGGTGTATTTGAAACCTGTGTCAGTGTACGTGTGAATGAGAGGTGTATTTGAAACCTGTGTCAGAGTGTGTGAATGAGAGTTGTATTTGAAACCTGTGTCAGAGTGTGTGAATGAGAGGTGTATTTAAAACCTGTGTTAGAGTGTGTGAATGAGAAATGTATTTGAAACCTGTGTCAGAGTGTGTGAATGAGAGGTGTATATGAAACCTGTGTCAGAGTGTGTGAATGAGAAATGTATTTGAAACCTTTGTTAGAGTGTGTGAATGAGAAATGTATTTGAAACCTGTGTCACAGTGTGTGAATGAGAAATGTATTTGAAAGCTGTGTCAGAGTATGTGAATGAGAGGTGTATTTGAAACCTGTGTCAGTGTATGTGTGAATGAGAGGTGTATTTGAAACCCGTGTCAGAGTGTGTGAATGAGAGTTGTATTTGAAACCTGTGTCAGTGTGTGTGAATGAGAGGTGTATTTAAAACCTGTGTTAGAGAGTGTGAATGAGAGGTGTATTTAAAACACACTGTGTGTCTGTGCCCTGTCTAAGCCCTTCATCCCACGTATTCCTCTCCCCTTTTCTCCCCTAGCCTGCTAACTTGCACCAGTTTGATGTTTTTTTTTCCTTCCCCCAGCTTTCTCAAGCTGGGAGGGATCTGCTGTGCCAGGCTCCAGTCCTCACTAGCCTTCCATGCTGTGAGAGCTCCCTGTGAGAGGAGAGGAGAGCAGGGGTATGATGTCACTTCCTGCCCCATCCCATCCTCACACGGAGCACTGTGTACTGATCGCAGGCATAGAGATGAGACCTGGCAGTGAGAGCAGGTATGCTGCCAGGTCTCACAATTAATAGGGGATTTATTTGCAAGGAGGTGTGTTGCAGGGGTCCAGGGGCCCTCATATGTCATCATGGGCCCCTGCAACCTTCCTTTTGACTATGGAGATCTCTGATCTCCACTTCAGAATCATGTGTGCAGCCGAGCCCCTGACTCACTCGGGCCCTCGGTCCATGACTGATCTGCCCGAGTGGTCAGTCCACGACTGTGTAGGTCACATTAGCAATCATTTCACTGTGAGCTGTGTCTCTCCTTTTGAGATGGTTCTTGGAGGTTGTCCTCAAGATCATAGAACTTGTATTATGTGCAGTCCAATTCAGTTCAGGTGCTTCTTACTTGTTAACATAATCCCAATGCAGTTTTAAAATAACAGCTAGGGTTGATGTTATGATAATGCTGCATATTGTAAGAATGAGACACCATAACCAATTTTATAGCATCCTTTTGTTTCCATCCAGTGGCTGCTCACTGTAAAAAAACAAAACAATAATAAACCTATTGCACCCACCCCTGTGCGACGGATGGGGACCCTAAATAAGAATGTGGAGGGGGGACCTACTGTTCTCCCCCCAATCCCCTAACCCTGCACGGTGGGTGGGGGCCATAAATAACAACTTGGGAGGGAAGACCTAATGTCCTCCCCCCGTCCCCCACCCCTGCGCGGCGGGTGGGGGCCCTAAATAACAATACTGTTATAACCTACTGTCCTCCCCCCCCCCGGCCCCCACCCCTGCGGAATTTTCCCACGCTGTGTAAAATGACACAGAGTACTCTGATTGGTTAGCTTGAAATCCAGCCAATCAGAGTGCTCTGTGTCATTTTACACAGCATGGGAAAAGTCCAAAGAACTTTCCCATGCTGTGTAAAATGACACAGAGCACTCTGATTGGTGGATTTCAAGCCAACCAATCAGAGTGCTGTGACAGATAAATGTAGAGACTTACCTGTCAGTCTCTTCATTTACCTGTCAGAGCACTCTGATTGGATGGCTTAAACCCACCAATCAGAGTGCTCTGGGCCTAATTGCAGGGCGGGGCAAGGCTTTATAAGCCTTGCCCCGCCCTGCAGAGCTCAGTCTGTGCGGAGCCCTCCATGGGTGAAGAAGGATTTTTTTTTTTTTAAGTGCGTCTGTTATTCTGAATTTTTATTTGGCCTTTTTTGGTGCTGAAAAAAGAAGATTTTAGAAGAAAGAAGACATCAAATGGTGTCTATTTTTTTTTTAAAACTACTCTAATACAGCCCAGGTACACCAAGGATACCCGGGGGTAACCCCTAGTAGAAATAAATATTGAACACAAGGATGGTGTACCAATAGGATAGGAGAAAATAGCATATGTCACAAACCAGATGTGAGGTACATTTAAAATGACCAAGGAGGTCCAAAAACAAAAAAGAATTTATTTGGTTCCAATAACAGAAATTAAATGTTTTAATATTGAAAAAAAAGAAAGGATAGGGTACAAAGTAATGTATTAAAATAAACCCTGATGTCTTGAATGATACTAACAAAGTTAGCTAAAGCACACGTCTGTGCTATTATAGAGACACATAGAGGTGCCCCTGAAGTATAGGTGCTAATACAATCAAATGTCCTGTCAGTGATCATTAAGTCCAATATAAGTTGAGAGTATCAAAAAAGATGTATCTTTTTAAAGTATATTATATTATTATATCTCTGAAGAATGTAAGGCTTGATTTACCTCAAATAATCAATCATGGCTAAATTAAATATAGGTGAGGCTGCAACAATGTTGTCCTCAAAATCGCTACACTTAGTACGGATATCAGTGAAGTATTTTTCACAATTCAAAAGTTGTATCAACAACAAATTAAAGGATATTGGGAGTTAATTAGCCTCAAACAATATCTTGACCATAAATTGGTACCACGGGGGTTAAGACCTGAAATATCCCTTCCAGAAAAAGCAATTACAGACGAACAAATCCAAGAATGGAATAGTATACTTTTGGACTGTTCAGCTAAACTTATGCAGTTTCTAGTAAAATTAGAAACAAATAATTTAGAAACGGTAAATAAAAATTTAGAAAAAGAATTGGTTAATGTGAAAAACTTTAAAGGCAGAACTGAATTTTCTCTTCTAGAAAATAAGCTACAAAAAAATTTAGAAGGGTTTAAGAAACATGTCAGGGAAAAAAACATGTCAGAGATTTTCAGGAGGGCAACATCTTCCGGATCAAAAAATCCCCAAATTTTTTTTTCAATAGTAGAAACAGATCCACTTCTGGTAACACAGATTGGTCTGACTCGGACTCAAGTTCATCTAGACAGAACTTCAAGAGAACTCAATCCCAATCACCTAAAAACAGGGGGATTCTCAAAACCCGAAGTGTTACTTTCCCTGAGACTCCAGTTCTCGAGACAGTAACTCCTAAACACATTCAGAACAATGAGGGACAACTTCCATTTTTAGAGGAGGATTGGCCCCTCCCACAGCGAGACAAATTACGAGACAGACGAAAATGGGGGTACAAGAGAGAAAGAAGACCGAATCAGTACCAATAGGTGATAACTCTAATCAAATCATAAATCTATCCAAATTTAATCTGCAAGAACATCACATATCACTTCTCAAAAAAGGATTATCATTTATTCCTACTTCTAATGCCAATAAATTCGAATGGATTAAGGACACAAATTTGTTTGGGCGTAAATTGGCCTTAAATGTTGTTCATAAAAGGAAAGATTACAAATCAGCTAAAGAAGCAGGTATTCCTCATGGTGATTATCATCTTCATCAGACATTACTATCATTACTTGAGGAACAAAACTCTGAATCTCCACTTACCAATCTGAAACCAGAAAGCTGGTTTACCCCAATTTAAGTGAAGTATCGAGCGTGGACCTTTTTATATAGATGACCACATCTGCCATTGAATCATTGCCCACTCCTAGGATTAGATGTGATAATCTTACCATACTCCAAAGAAAAGCCCTTAAAGAACTAAGCACAGCAGTAGACCTTATCATTAAACTTTCTGACAAAGGGGGTAATGTAGTGTTGATGGACAAAGAACAATACTTAGAGATGTGTATGGAACACCTGAAAGATTCATTAGCATATCGCTAATACCTCCTTGTGAATGAAGCAGACCTCTATTTTCCTCCCTGACATTAATTCATTAGTATATTCTCCCCTATCTATTATTTGAGAATAATTTGTAGACCTTGTTTCTTCCCCTTTAAATTATCATATCAATTTATATTTGGTTCTTCCCATCCAGATCCATTTATATTCCCTTTTTATATCAAGCCTGTCTTTCACTGCAGGGGCTTATATGTCCTTGTGACTTGTGGATTATATCATCCATTGATATCAATAATATAATAATATATCTTTATTTTTCTGTTATTTTCTTATATGTGTTTGCTTTATATTTCTTTTCCTTTTCTTGCATATTCAATTTTTTATTTATTTACAATATTTTTATAATTAACCATTATACACTTGAACCTTTTTTCAATGCACCATTGGATATTATTTTATCTTCCTTCGTGTTTCACTATTTGTTTCTTATTTGTATCAAATAGATCATCTAAGGGGTTAAGTCCCCTTACGGCCGGTGTTAGGGAACACCCCTTCATGATGGCACCATTACTGCATCCAATCAGAAGCATTTGGTAAATTCACACCCCTTTCTATGATGTCATTATTTGTATATCCAATCAGTATCATCTATTGCGTCCAATCACTAATCGTTCCCTCCTATTTATACCCGGCATTCCCCTTTGATCGGTTCCCCTCTGATGAGCTTGGGCGAAACGCGCGCGTCAGGGGCTCTCTATGGCTTCATAGTACGCCGCATCCTCTGATAGTCTTTTTTCACAATTTATGTTTCTAGCGTGGGATTAGATTTAGGTGCCCTTGAAGACACGGGGGTGGATGGCTAGTTGCAAGAATCTTTACAATTGAATAGTTTCCTGGACGCCCTTTTCTCGGCATTTATCAATAGAACTAGCATAAATCCATCAACATTCCTGCAGTTACGCTGTAATATTTACTCCTTTCATACTATTGACCAGTAGGAACTTTAACTCCACGTTCTACCTCTTATCTGCATACAGCTTACATCATTAGTCAGTGTAGCGATTTTGAGGACAACATTGTTGCAGCCTCACCTATATTTAATTTAGCCATGATTGATTATTTGAGGTAAATCAAGCCTTACATTCTTCAGAGATATAATAATATAATATACTTTATAATGATACATCTTTTTTGATACTCTCAACTTATATTGGACTTAATGATCACTGACAGGACATTTGATTGTATTAGCACCTATACTTCAGGGGCACCTCTATGTGTCTCTATAATAGCACAGACGTGTGCTTTAGCTAACTTTGTTAGTATCATTCAAGACATCAGGGTTTATTTTAATACATCACTTTGTATCCTATCCTTTCCTTTTTTTCAATATTAAAACACTTAATTTATGTTATTGGAACCAAATAAATTATTTTTTGTTTTTGGACCTCCTTGGTCATTTTAAATGTACCTCACATCTGGTTTGTGACATATGCTATTTTCTCCTATCCTATTGGTACACCATCCTTGTGTTCAATATCTATTTATTTTTTTTACAGGTATTTAGACAAGGGTTCCCCCTCATTATCTTTAGAATGAGGGGGGTAGGTAGGGGACATTTTTTGGGGGGGGAGGGGGATGACTAGGGGTTTGGGGACCCCTAGTCACCTGGGGGGGGAATTTTTATTTATGGCCCCCACCCACCGCTCAGGGGTGGGAGCCGGGGGGAGGACATTAGGTCCCCCCCTTATTGTTATTTAGGGCCCCCACCCGCCGCGCAGGGGTGGGGAACGGGGGGAGGACATTAGGTCCCCCCCAATTTTTATTTATGCCCCCACCCACCGCTCAGGGGTGGGAGCTTGGGGGGCAGGACAGTAGGTCCCCCCCCTTATTGTTACTTAGGGCCCCCACCTGCCACGCAGGGGTGGGGCCTGGGGGGAGGACATTAGGTCCCCCCTTATTGTTATTTAGGGCCCCCACCCACCTCGCGCCATGGGCTACTCACTGTTTAATAGACATGCCCCTACTAGCTGGGTCACATGCTGCACTGGCCAATCACAGCCAAGCCATTAGTAGGCATGGCTGTGATGGCTTCTAAGGGCACACAAGTCAAACGCTTGTTGATTGGCTGCGGCCTTTCAAAACGCGTCATTAAATTGCCGAACTCCAACCCGAACATACAGTGATATGTCCGTGTTCGGGTCCGGGGTCCAGAAAACGTAATGTTCTGAACTTTTCAGTAGTGATGTCGCGAACGCGAACTTCCGCAAATGTTCGCAAACCGGCGAACCGGGCGAACCGCCATAGACTTCAATGGGCAGGCGAATTTTAAGACACACAGGGACTCTTTCTGGCCACAATAGTGATGGAAAAGTTGTTTCAAGGGGACTAACACCTGGACTGTGGCATGCCGGAGGGGGATCCATGGCAAAACTCCCATGGAAAATTACACAGTTGATGCAGAGTCTGGTCTTAATCCATAAAGGGCATAAATCACCTAACATTACTAAATCACAATGGATATGGATTGACACCTGACATATGACATATTGAAACCTTGACATATGGATTGACACCTGTCCTCAGAGACCCTGACACACACTGACACAGAGCAGAATAGAGACTGTTCCTCCTACATAGGGTCACTTGGCAGATATGGATTGACACCTGTCTTCAGAGATCATGATACACACTGACACAGAGCAGAATAGAGACTGTTCCCCTACATAGGGTCACTTGGCAGATATGGATTGACACCTGTCCTCAGAGCCCCTGATACACACTGACACAGAGCAGAATAGAGACTGTTCCTCCTACATAGGGTCACTTGGCAGATATGGATTGACACTGTCCACAAGGACAAGCTGCAGCCTTCCTGGCAGGGCCCATACAAGGTGGTAGAGCAGGTTTGTGATCGGTGCGGTCACAGGCACGGGAGGCAAGCGCATGCTCCTTGTGAACATGCTCAAGCCATACCACGAGCGCACGGAAGAGGTAACCGCGATCTGTGCACCTGCCACTGAAGATTATGATAATTTGCCACTCCCAGATCTCCTAGACCTAGAGGGCCAGAGCGGAGACCTGGGAGAAGTACAGTTAGGAGAACGGTTAGACCCCCAGGAGCGAACCCAGGTCCAAAGACTAATCCAGGACAAGGGGGCCACGTTTTCCAACCTACCTGGGTACAGTCCGTTAACCACTCACAAAGTTGAAACCCTAGACCAGACCCCCCTTCGCCAAACCGCCTATCGCATACCCGAAGCAGTTAAAGAAAATATGCGGAAAGAAATTGAGGAAATGATGCAGTTAGGGGTGATAGAACACTTTGACAGCCCATGGGCCTCCCGGTAGTACTAGTACCGAAACGGGACGGCACGACCCATTTCTGTGTAGACTACCGGAGGCTAAACGATAAAACAACCTCAGACGCCTACCCTATGCCCCGGATAGACGAGCTCCTAGACAAAATGGCCAGAATAGATCTGTGCAAGGGGTACTGGCAAATTCCATTAGCCGAGGACGCCATCCACAAGTCGGCATTTGTCACCTCGTTTGGCCTGTATCAGTTTAAGGTCATGCCATTCGGGATGAAGAATGCCCCGGCTAACTTTCAGAGGATGGTAGATCGGCTACTGGATGGGTTTCAGGAGTATGCCTGCGCCTACTTGGATGATATAGCCATTTTTAGCTGCTCCTGGCCCGAACACCTGACCCACATAGGAGCCGTACTAGACCGGATTAGGGAGGCCGGACTGACCCTAAAGCCCAGTAAGTGCCATATAGGAACGCGTAAAAACCTCCCCAAGATAGTAGTATGGGCCCCAGAGTGTGAACAGGCCTTCCAACAGCTCAAGACGGCGCTCATTAAATCACCTGTACTTTCTGCTCCTGATCCAACTAAACGCTTTCTCGTCCATACAGACGCTTCTATGTTTGGATTGGGAGCAGTACTGAGCCAAGTCGGAGCAGATGGCGGCGAGCAACCCGGGGCTTATCTAAGCCGGAAACTTTTGCCCAGGGAAGTAGATACACTGCCATTGAAAAGGAGTGCCTGGCGGTGGTGTGGGCCCTCAAAAAGCTGCAACCTTACTTGTATGGACAACTGTTTACCTTACTCACAGATCACAACAAATTTGGGGCACTGCACGTGCAATCTAATGTGTCACCAGATAGGAATGGTGTGTTAAGTAGTACTATTCTTATCAGTTTAATCCCTGTTACGTCCCCTATCCGTTGATGTGGAGCAAGACGCAGCAGCAGAAGAGGACTCAGCCGAGGAGGTTATGGAAGAGGATGGAGTAGGAGGAGTAGAGGAGGTGGCAGCAGGCCTGCCTGCAAGTCATGGCGGTGTCACCAACTCCTCTGCAGAGCCACGCATTCCATGCTTGGCAGCCGTCAGCAGGTTTGCCCAATGCGCAGTGTAGGTGACATACCTGCCCTGACCATGCTTTGCAGACCAGGTATAAGTGGTCAGATGGACCCTTGCCCCAACACTGTGTGCCAGACATGCCATTATTTCCTTTTGCACAATCGATTACAGGTTGGGGAT